ACTATTTTCAGTTTTCGATGATTTGGGGGGACTAATATCAAAATATTTAAGATTTCAGGAACTAATATTGAAATAACCCTTTTTTGTATTCTTACGTCCTCAGATGTGAAATCCTGAAACATCAATTGTTTTCGTAGGTGGTCATGGGAAGTTTCATAGCTGAAGGGAAAAAACCGAAGGCTGAGCTGAAGCTAGACCCTTCATCGGTCCCACCACCACAGATGTCAGGGTTCAGGTCAGCATCAGGCCCACCGTCCCAAGAAGGTTCTTTGAGCGAGTCAGATGATGACGATGATCCCGGCAGCCCTGCAATGAATCTAAGCAGCAGCGTTGGGAATTTCAACAACTCTGGCCAGCATGGGCAGATGATGGCTGGTTATGGTTCAATTGGTGGATGGACTCACTCTGGGCATCCATCAGCCCAGGCATGATTCTGAGATGAAGATGATGCCCAGTTAACTATATCGTCTGTTGCAGGATCATGGTTCAGCTTCTGAAGTGAAAATGTTTTAAGTATATTTTTGAAAGCTAAGGCTGTTATTTAAGGTTTTGACGAAATGTTTTATTGTTATGATCCTGATATTCAGAGGATAATTGGCAGCGGCTTCTTTTCTTTTTGTTTTGAATCTTCTGTGATAGTCTCATCGATGAGTTACTTGGTTCTTAGATATGAGTTATATATCCCACTACATTGCTTGCTGAACTTGGTAGAAAAAAGTTCTAGTCAATGGAAGCAAGATACTCTTCTCTGCTGTTTTTTTTCCATTGCAAATTAATTGCAGATTAGAATTACATCAGAAGAATTGACGTTTGGGATCGCGGTTCGATCTTATTTAATTCCAAATCCCGATTTCCTCAGCTTCTTAACTCTATGAAATTGTAGAATACAACCAAAGAGCTAGCTTATATTTTGAGTACGCATATAAGATTTTCATAGATGATTTGCTCGATTAGACCTTGTCTTCTTTGCTCCACACATTTGGAAAAGATTAAATTTGATCCAAATATTCACATCCTCTACAAGAAGATGTTAATAATAGAGATTAGAGACAAACTTACCACCTATTCTATCTAACCTCAAGCGTCTCCAAGAAGATGGTAATATAGAGGCATACTTATCATCTATTCTAATTTCAAAAGACAGTCACATAGAAATTACATGATTATCTTGAAAATCTACTATTATTTTGAAAATCAATTGTCTTGAAAACCACTAGTTCAAATGCCACTATTGCGATAATAAAAATGTTTATATGGCATTATCCTATTCAGTGAAATTAGAATGGACTGTAGGAATTGGGATAATTGGACTTCTCCAATCACACACATACACACACACAGCTCAACAACATCAACGTGGAAAAATGACACAATACTATGCCTAATTTATCCTTATTGAATAACCTCCTTATCTCCTTCTTTTTTTTCCTTTCCCTTTTTCTCTCTGCCCCTTATACAATAATGGCTCTTTTTAACTCCAAACTGATCCATAATTTTTAGTTTGCCTTTAATACTTGCATAATTGTACAGATATGCCTTTGACATTAAAAAAATTATAAGAAATAACTAAATTTTAAATTGTAATATAACTCCATTACTTCTCAACCTATTTACAACAAATTCAGAATTGAGTTTGCAGCACAAACATAATCAATAGAAAACATAAATCTACTTTGTTGAGCGATTTCCAGTTCTCCTGTTGTCTTTCTTCTTCAATTTCTTGTTGATATTCTTCTAGAGCTCAATTTGCAGATTGTAGTCAGTATTGGCAGGATTTGAAGAAAAGAAGCAACATTATTATGCTTTACTTCTCGAAATAGGTAGTACGAGCTAGATCTTGATCTCAAATTCATGACGTAGAAGTTAGCATCATCATCTAAAGTTCAATTTGATGTAGAAGAATGGTCTGAAGGTTTGCATTCTTGGAGCAATTAAATTGGTGGCTATGCCTTGGTTTATAAGATCCCATTCCTAGTTGTTTTGGTGAAAAGTTGGTGCTTTCATTAGTGGACTCAATACAACTTCAGTCGTTACAATGAACTCAACAAAAATAAAAATAAAAAATTACAACTCTCTTAAAACACACGCAACAGACGTTTATCACTCGCTGCTTGCGTGGGATCTTGGCATGTGCCTGGGTTTATCCGTGGACCACCGACTGATCAGATCCAATATAAATTTCGTTGCCTCGCAAAGGAGACAAGAAACTGAAGTAACTATCTGAGCAAAGCGAGATAATCACTCTTCTCGAGAATCACAGCTAGGTATGATCTCAAGGAAATGGATGAACGGATGCAGATCTCTCGAACTCTTCCTCTTTATGCTGAATAGCTCGCCGAGATCTCTTTCTCCTCTCTGAAATTCATGCTCCTCACTCTTCAGTTCGACAGGGTTTTGCCGAGGCTCGAGAATTCTGGATCTGTGTGAATGAAGGCCATAGGGCTGTATTTATAGGCTTCAGAAACTCGATTTTCGGATAAGAACAGCCGATTCCCTCTTATATTTAGTTATAACCACTTAACCACGTCCCAAGATAGCTTCAAATCAGTTGGAGAGGCTTTGGATTAGAATCGGGGCAGTTAACATTAAAGAAACGGTGAAAAAATAGCAAAAATAGCGTTTTCGGGGTCTGAGACAACTTATGTGTCTTGGCTGCTGAGACACGATTGGTACCGCTCTGTTGTTTTGCCTCTAACTCTCTCATCTGACCTCAGAATGAAGTGATTCAAGATGCGTTGGAAATCCAGAGAAGAGATATACAATCATCCATGTGTGAATCACATATGAATTAGACGAGACATGAGTGGTGCTTTGTCTTTCATGAGTGAAACGTAACTCCCGATCGAATCGTTTCTTCGTTATTCTATCATTCCGTTGATTCGTACGCTTCGTCGACTCACTTCATACGCTTGTTGATGTCAGATAATCCTCCTTCACTCAGATAAAAGAACTTGTGATTAGCTTTAGTTCTTAACTTCTACGATTTTTAAACTATTCAGTATTTTGTCGAATAGCTGAAATTCTTCTGGCGTTGCGTTTATCGTCTGACCATTGTCGAAGTCTCGAATTGAAACAGGTGTGTTGATTTATGATTTTAGCTCATGTCGTTGAGTCGACACTTGAACTGACTATCTTTGTCAAGAATTCATATCTAAAATACAGTTGAAATTCTTGGGATCATCCTTTGTTTTGGAGTCGATCTGAGCCTTGTTTTGGCAAAAAATTATCGACGCATTGTCCTTCATCGTAATGTGTTGACTGACGTTGACTCTTCCTCGCAACGTGTTGACTAGCATTGACCATCATTGTAATGCGTTGATCAGCGTTGACTTATGGCTACGCGTTGATCGGTGTTGATCTTTATCGTAACGCGTTGACTGGCGTTGACCTAAGGCTACGCGTTGACCGACGTTGACCTAAGGTTACGCGTTGATCAGCGTTGACTTACAGCTACACGTTGACCAACGTTGACCTTTATCACAACATGTTGATCGGTGTTGACTTACGGCTATGCGTTGACCGTCGTAAACACAGTTTATACTCATACGTTAACTAGAGTCTACAAAGTTTAGGCTCTTAAGGTGTTAGAGCGGGGAGGACCAGTTTATATTCGTATACTCCTAGGAGTTTCGGTAATCAGTTTAACCTCGTGTACCCGTTGGAGGTTTAAGGAGATGCACTTTAGACTCATATACTCATCGGAGTGTGAATACGGGTATCGAATACATCGAAATGAATGAAAACAGTCAAAAACGAGCGAAAATACACCGCAAAAAACACCCAGGACCTATTTTGGACTTGAGACATGACTCGTGTCTCGATTTTGGCCGAGACACATGAAGTGTCTCGGTTGGCCAAAGGGGAGAGAGAGAGAATATGGGAGAGAGAGGATAGAGAAAATAGAGGGGGGAGAGAGAAAGGGTGGCCAGCCTAAGGCATGGTTGTAGGGTGTTGTACAATGGATATTTGTGTTCCCCCTCATATTTTGAATTCCCTCTCTTTTTCATCATCTTCCTCCTCCAAATTTCTTATCCAAACCCACTTCTTCATAACCCATAACTCTCCTCTTTAGGAACTCTTAATCCCCTCTTTAAGGACTCTTAAACTCTTGTTATAAAAGAGTTTGAAGCTTCATCTTCTCCTCCTTTTGTTCTTAGCTGAAAATCACCTTCAAGTTCAAGGGTTTTCAAGTTCAAAACTTGGGCTTTTGGCATTGGATTCAAGCTCTTGATTTAGGTAAGCTCCTCTCCATAGCCTCTTGTGCATTTGTTTGGTTTTGATTCATGAATTTGTAGGCCAACTTTAGGGATTTTTTGATCTCATGAATTGGAAAAATTGAAACTTGAAAGTGGGTATGTGAAAATGGCCAAGTTTTGATTCATGAATTTTGTAGCTTTTTGGCATGAAGATGAAGTTTGAAACTTGCATTTGAGGAGCTTGAGATTATGGCCGAAATTTGTAGGGGTGTAGGTGTAAATTTTGATTTCTCAAAACGGGGGTTTCGTTTGTATTGATAAGAATAGCTTATTACAAACTAATGAATCAAAATTACAACAGAAGCGGAGGGAAGACCCTCCTTGTCTTTGGTAACGATAGGACGCCTCCCTCAGAGTTGGAACCGAGTTTACTTCCCTTGGACGATCCGAGCAAAGTTGCGGGCGAGCTTCAGTATGCAGTAAAAGCTCGTGTTGATCGAGTTCGAGTTCTCAAGCTTAATGGCTATCAAGACCGAAAGCTGGAAGAAGACGCTACAGTGTAAGAACAATGCAAAGAGCCAGGCTCGATTCTCTTAGAGCTTAAGAGAACTGATTGCCAAGGAGCCCAATAGGTTTGGTCTTGATCAAGAGTTCAAGACCTCTCTTTTGATAGCCATCATTGGCTATTTATAATGGAGGAGAAGCATGGCCACTCCCTCAAATTGTGGGATTATGGTTGAGGGGGACCATAACTCCATCCCTTAAATCTTGGGATATGACCATTGGAGGTGAGCAAAACCATACTCCATCCCTTAGATCATGGGGAGTGGGTGTACCCACTCCCACGTTTTAAGCTCAAGTGTCTGACTTGGTCCAGCTGTGCAGGCGAGCTTGACATTACAGGTGAGCTTGGACTATCAGGTGAGTAGGCGAGCTTGGGTCTACAAGCGAGCCTAGCGGACTTTGGCATGCAGGTGAGCCTGGGCGCTACAGGCGAGCTCGGCCTTCAGGCTAGCTGTGAAGGCAAGCATTCAGGCGAGCTGGTGAGCTTGGGTCTACAGGAGAGCCTGGCGGGCTTTGGCATGCAGGCTAGTCTGGGTGCTATAGGCGAGCTCGGCCTTCAGGTGAGCTGTGCAGGCAAGCTTCACTTAGTTCAAGCGAGCTCCAATGTTCAGGCGAGCTTCACTTAGTTCAGGCGAGCTCCAATGTTCAGGCGAGCTCTAGCCTTACAGACGGACTTCCCTATAGGTGAACTTCACCCTTTTCAGGTGAGCTTCAGCCTTCAGGCAAGCCTGGATCATGTAGGCGAGCTCTGTAGGTGAGCTTGGCTTATGCAGGCGAGCTCCAGAGCATGTCACGAAGAACATGTCATAACTTTCAAACTGTAAGTCAGAATTTGACGAATTATATATGAAAATCGACTATCTTGACG